CCGGCCGGGCAGCGGAGGAAGACCGGGAGGCAGAGGGGGGCACTCCGGGGCCCAGCCGGGGCTTAGCTGGTGCGGTAGAAGGCGCCCTGCTGGTGCCACTGCATGTCCCGGATGCGCCGGACCGACTGGATGTGAGGCTGCTGGGCTCCAAACTCCAGGTTGTCCTTGTAGTCGCCCTTCTCAAACAGGCACTGGTAGCCACGGTAGCCGGGGTACTGGTAGCCCACCCACCTGCGGGAGGAGGGCAGGGTCAGGGGGGCAGGGAGCTCGACCCTCGGCTCACGCAAGGGGCAACCAGGAAGGGAATCCCTCTCTGGCTCGCTGGTCCCTTCCCGAAGCCCGGGGCGGCTCCCCAGGGGAGGCTCCTGCTGCCCGCCCAGAGACTTACGTGCCACTCTGCACTCGCACAGAGGACACCTTCTCCTGGTAGCCGTAGGCATGGAAGCTGGGCACGTCGTCATCCACAATCTCGATCTTCTTGCCGCTGAAGCTGGGATTCTCGTACAGGACGATCTTGTGCTCCTGGCTGTCCTGCAGGGAGGCAGGGGAGGGGGGAGCGGAGAGAGGGCCCCAGCCTCAGGTGGGGGTCCCGGCTGAGCTCCCCAGGACCAAACCTGAAACGCTCTTTAAGGGTTTCCCAATCCGGGTTCGCTCTGTAGCCCGTCGGGACAGAGCGGCAGGGCAGAGCCGTTCCCTGTGCAGCTTTTCCCTCCTCCCTTGGCGCCTGCCGAGCCTCCGGCTTTCTCGTGGCCAGCCCCTCCTCTCGTGGCCCTGCCCGGCAGCCACCGCCATCCCTCCCCATGGCAGAAAACAGTGGCAGGGAGCTTGCAGGGGGCCCTGGGTTAGAGCCAAGGGTCTGGCTGCCAGGCCAAGCGTTACTCCCTCCCCTCCGAGACCCCCCCTTGGCACTCACCACTTTGATGGGCCTCAGGGCGGAGATGCTGTCACTCCTGCGGCTGCTGGTCCAGGAGTCCCAGCGGGGGTACTCCCCCTTCTCAAAGATGAACTGCTCCCCTTTGAAGTGGGACTGCTCATATCCCACCCACCTGGCAGCAAAGAGAGACCAGGGTGAACCCCTGGCCGGAAGTTTCTCCCCCCCCCCAAGGAACCCCACTAGAGCTTCGGGGCTGCCCAGATAACGGAGCTGCCGCCCTCCCTCTGAAACACTTGGGGGCAGCGGGAGGGGAGAGCAAAACTGATCCACGGGAGCACCAGTCTGTCGTGGCCACCCCAGGCCCACAGCCTCAGTGCGGCCCACGGCCTCCCTGCCTCCGAGCCCCCTTCCCTGGCACTCACGGGCCAGAATGCACCACAATGGAGCTGACTTTCTCTACGCCGGCCTCCTTCAAGTTGGGGCAGGGGGTATTCAGCTCCTGGCAGCGCCCCTGGAAGTTCTCCTGCTCGAACAGGGCGATCTGGGAGGGTGAGAAGAGAGGGTGTCAGAGCCTTTGGGGCGCCCCGGACCAAGAGGGGAAGGAATCCTCTGCATCGGGGCCCGTCCGATGGAGGAGGGAGCAAGATGGCTTCTGACTCCCTCAGCCCCCCCAGGCAGAGGGTCTTTTCCTCTCCACCTGTCCACACAGGTTGCTCTCCGCCCCACACTTAGCTGTCTAGGGGTGGGCCCACTGACCTTGGAAGAGGCTTGCAGCTGCTTCGAGGTCTGGTGGTCCAAGGCCATGGTGAAAGGGGGCTGCTCCCTGAGGAGAGAAGTCACAGCAGGCGGGACACGCAGCTGCCACCGCCACGGCCCCCGCCCTATCTACCCGGTATGCTCCAGAAGGGCCACCACCCCTCCCATCTTCCCGTCTTGGGGACCTCTGGGCTTCCCGGGGGCGCTTGGCATCTCTCCAGCTCAGGGGAGAAGCTGGGCCATTGCCTGGCTCGGGACTGGCATGGGAAGAGGGATGGATGAAGACTCACCAAGGGGGGCTTGCATGGGGCATTTGCAAGAGGGAAGGGGAAAAGGAGAGGAGCCACCTCCTCTGATCCCAGTAAAATCCTGGGAAGCAGAAAAGGGATCCTGGCATATTTAGCCAAAAGAGAACCCTCATTTACTGCTTCCAGGGACCTGGGGGGGGGGGGGAGAGGTTGCAGCCAAGTGGCCAAGAAAGTGGTCAGACTTTCTGCCCACTGCGGAGTCTCTGTCCTTGTTCCCATCATCTTCCTGTTCTGCCTCTGCTCCGCCAATCTGCCCTTTTCCTCTATCAGACTCAACCCCGGTTGGGAAAGAGCCCCACGCCAAAGGCCCCGTCAACCCCAGAAAAAGCCAAGCGGAAGAAGCCTACCGGTTGCACCAAAATTTGCTCCTGCCGCTGAAAGCCCGCCGCCGAGCCCCACCATTTATAGAGGGCGGCAGAGTCCCAGGCCAGCAATATTGATCAGCATGTGACCCAAACCAAGAATGCTGGATTAAAGTATAATGCAAACAGAGTCAGCTCCCCCCCTGCCTCCCTTTGTCCTGGGAGAGTTATTTCATGAGCTTTCACTTTGGAGCTGCCCGCTTTGCTGGCTCAGCTCCGTGGGCAAGGAGAGCCCGGTTTTGTTGAGCTCAGCAGGGGCAGCCACCCGGGGCCTGGCGCTGCAAAACCCCTCCTCCCTCCCTCCCTCCCCAGTGGCCCCGGGGCCGTGCCAGCCGGAGCCGGTCCCTGCCACCAGGCCCTTTACGGGTGGGCAGGTGGGCTTCTCCACGGCACGAAGGGCTCCGGGCAGCCTTTCTCCCTGGGAAGCCAGGTCCAAAGTCCCTATCAGGCCCAGGCATCTCTGCTTACAAGCAGGCCGGGAATCCCCAAGTCCAGGAACAGACCCCTCCCCCCATGGGCCAGCCAGACTGGAGAGGAGGGCAAGTGCAGTCCCCCCCCCAGGGCTCGGGGGGGGGGGGGGTTCCTTCCTGAAACTGCTGCCACCGTTCATGCTCCTCAGGCTCCCGGTCTGCCCGCTGACATTTCCTGCCCTGAGAAAGTCCCCCCTCTCCGAGGGAGAAAACCACCCCAGCAGCTCCCGGAGGACTTCAGCCCAGGGCTGTCCGGAGAGCTGGGGAGCAGTCCGGCCAGGGCGGGCCCCGTCTGCTCGGCTGCTACGGGTGGCCAGCCTGTAGGCAGAGGGCTCCCAGGTGGTCCGCTGCATTTGGCGAGGGGCAGCCAAACAAGCAGAGGGAGAAGGTGGCCCCACGCAGGCTTCCAGTGCTTGCTCACCGGGAGACCAAACGGGGGTCTTCTGGGGTCTTTGCAGGGAGCGAGTGGCTTTGGGAGACAGGAGGCCTCGAGAGCTCCCCCTTGTGGCAACAAACAGAAGGGAGTCTGTGACCGGAGCGTGACTGGCAAAGCGCAAGGTGAGCCCAGGACAGCTGCTCCCTTTGAGGTGGAAAGGAGGCAGCAGCCCCCCCCACCCCGTGTGTGTCCATGCTCCCACTCCGTCCTCCTTCGCAGAGGAGAAGCGAGGCTGCTGCCCAGAGGAAGAGCCTGGCAGGGGGGCTTCCAACCCCCAAGAGAAGAAAAAAGACCTCAGCCACACAGGTTGCTCTGAACAAGCTTTTTAATCAGACGGTCAAGGCCAACAAGTCTTGGAGCAGAACCTCCCAGGGGTCTGCCAGCCAAGTCCTCCCAGCCTCAGAAACGGCGCATATGCCCAGAGTTCCTGCTGGCACTGCCAGGAGCGGCCTCCTCCAAGTGGCACAGGGGGCAGGGGCATCTCCCCCAAACAAGGGACAGGATGCCCGAGGGCTGGAGGCCTGGCAGAGCATATGGGCGTCCTTCTGCCTGGCTGGGAGGAAAAGAAAACAAAAGGAAAGAAAGAAAGAAAGAAAGAAAGAAAGAAAGAAAGAAAGAAAGAAAGAAAGAAAGAAAGAAAGAAAGAAAGAAAGAAAGAAAGAAAGAAAGAAAGAAAGAAAGAAAAGAAAGCAAGCAAGCAAGCCTGATCCAGGACTGGCACCTGGGAGGCACAGAGGCAGCTGGCTGTTTCACCCCAGGCCCAATGGCCGGCTGTCGCTGTCCCCTCTGGCGGAATCCTTTGGGAAGCCAGAGTAGCTTGAGAAGAGCACTTATGGGGGGGGGGAATGCAAGTTTCTAAGCACAGCAGCGTCTCGGGGGGCAGGAATGCAGACCCCAAGGCTGGGCGCAGGGCTGACTGAGCAGCCTCGCCAGCCAGGCAGGCCCAGAGGCAGCCTTGGGATAGCCACTGTGCCTCCAAAAGGCGGGGGTGGTGGTGACCCCCGTCCGCCCCACAGCATAACCAAAGAGATCTTCAGAGGTCTTTGGGCCCCATTTCTCGCGGGAGCATTCACAGAACCACCCAATTTGGGATTTCTCCAGCTGACCAGGATGGAGCAGAAAAGGGCTTGCAAGGATCTCTGCCCCCCCTCCACCTGCCCGCCAGGCAGAGGCACGTTCATTGGCTGACCGATATCCCCACACTTGGGATCAGGAGAGAAGGACTGGAGTCGAACGCAGGACTCTCTTCCCTGAATATTTACAAGAACATCTACAGTGAAGACAAAGACATCCTGAGGCCGATGGAGGCCCAGTTCCGTCTTTTTGAAGTGGGTGAAAAAGCCGCCTCCGTGGGGGATTGCAGCCATTCAAGAGGAGGCGCTTGGCCTTATTGCTTTCTCTCTTCTCGGGAAGGACCCCCACAAAACTTGTACAATAAAACATCCTCTGATCTTTGAACAGCAACAAGGATGAGCCATGGCGGCCTCCCCCACCTGTCCAAACAGCAAACCCACAAAAACGGATCCTGGAAGAACAACCGGCCCCTTTTCCTTCTCCTTCTCCTTCTCCCACTTCGGCAGAGATCCCTCCCATGGATCCCGGGTTCTCCCCTCGACCCTCCAGCAGGGAGGCGTCATGTTTGGGGGCCGCCCTGGCTGCAGGGGGGGTGGGCCGGGCCCCCTCCCACAGGTCCTCGGGGCGGAGCCGGGCGGGCCCCAGAGGAAGGCACTGAGCGCAGAGCAGTCGGTCAAGGCGGGAGGACGGCTCGGGAGGAGGGCAGGGGAAGGGCGGCGGTCAGTTAAGGCAGCTCCTCCTCTGGCCAGTCATGGCTTCGACCTGGAAAAGAGGGGGGAGGGGGGGAATCAGGGCATCTGGCCAGCCTGGGCCTCTTTCCCCTCCCCGACAGGCAGGGAAGCTGCTTGGGCACCCAGAGTCTACCCAGGAAACTTCCCGGGCCAGGATCCGCCCCCCCCTTCAGTCTGGCACCAGCAGGTGAGCCTGTCTTCCCTGCTCTAGTCCAGGCCTCAGCCCCCTCCCCTCACCCCCCCTGGCCCACCCACCCCCCGCACCTCAGAGGGGGCTCTCCGGCTGGCCCTGCTTCCTCCTGGACTTCAGCTCCGTCAGCCATGGGGGGGGCAGCTCCTCCGGCCTGAAAGGCAGCAGAGCCTCAGCAGCCGCCCTGGAGGGGCTTCCCCTGCCATGGGGGGGGGGGAACAGGACATGGGGTGGGGGAGGCTTTGCTGAAGTAAGGGGCAACCTTGCCTCCCCTTCTGGCCTGCAGGGCCCTGTGACTCCCCCTCCCCTCCCCCTCTCCTCTCTCACCTCCCTTCCTTCTCGGGGGTGGCCGCCGGTGCCGGAAACGGACCTTTGGGCGACTTGCAGAGGGGCGCAGGGGGGGCTTCCTCCCTGCCCCCTTCCAAATCGTGCCTTTTCCTGAGTTGAGCCTGTGGAGGAAGCCCCAGATCCCACTCAGGAGAAAATTGGGAAGCAGCTGATGGCCAACAGGGGAGGCGGAGAAACCCCCCCCCCAACAGCCTCTAGTGGCCTCCAGGCTGGCCCTGGGAAGAGCTGACACGGAGGGTTTCTCCTGGGGGAGGGTCTTCTCGGATGTACCTTGAGGGCGGAGGGGGCCAGGCCCGGAAAGAGTGGCAGCCGGGACTGGGCACGGAGCTGCCTCTCTGCTGCAGGGGGCTCCTCTTCCTCCTCTTTGTTCCTCCTGGGGGGCTTCTCTTCTTCACCATGAAGGGGAGGGGAGCAGAATTATCATCACACCAGAATGAAACACCCTCCCCCACAGACACACCTGGAAGCCACCAAGAGGCTTCAGGGCCAAGAGGGGGCCAGACTGCCCCCATTAGGCCAGACTCTCTTCTCGGGCCCCTCGAGATGCCCGCAGGGGGTGGGGTGGGGGATTCCTGGCTGCAACCCCCTCCCCCCAGGCCCCACCTGTGGAGTCCCTGAACATCCAGGCGCTGGCTGCTCCCTCCGCCGCAGAGGAGAACGGGGTCGGCTGGGCACTGGCACCCCTCCTGAGGATGCGGGAGATGGGGGCCCGATGCTGCTGCCGTCTTTTGCCCAGCAGGACCCGGCTCTTCTGGGTCCCCGAGTCCAGGCGGGGGGTTTGCTGGGAGAGAAGAGACTGCTTGCAATTGAAGCTCAGACCCCCTCCCTCAAAGCCAGGAGGACCTGCCCAGCAACCCACCTCCAGGAAGGAGAAGTCCGGGCTGGCCTTCTCCGTGGGGGGAGACGCCGAATCTGCATCTGGGCTGGAATCACCCAGGCTGGGGCTCCTCTGCTCCCTGGATGACTCCTGCTGGTCAGCGGCAGTGGCCAGGTCCCTCTGAGATGAGTACAAGGAGGCTCGGTGGCCGGGGGACGGCTTCTGCGCAGGGGCCACGCTGCCCTCCCAGGAAGGGGACTCCGGGGTGAAACTAGGACAAGCAGGGGGTGGAATTAGGCCCCCCAATGGCAGTTTGGAGCATGACTGATTGCGAGGACCCTTCCCTCACCTGGGGCAAGGGAGCAGCTGGTTCTGGGGAGGGGAAGGATTCTAACAGCTCAGGTAAATGGGGAGGGGGGATCAGTCTCCTCTCTCCCCCAGACCCACAAAGCCACCTGGCCTACTGCAGGACTGACCTCGTCCCCGCTGCAGCACAAGGTTGGGGGGCCTCACCCCTTCTGTGTCCTGGCCAGGAGCTGACTGAGCAGCAGAGGGCGCTGTGGGCTGCGTTTCCCAGGGAGAAAGCAGCTGGGGTGGGGGATGCCTTCATGCCACCTTCACACACACCCCCCCCAACTACTACGGTAGGAATCCAGAGCTGGCTCTTGAGGTCCTGCCTGGTGCCAGGGAGGGCCCGTCGTGGCTCCCTGCCCTTCTTGCTTGTCAACTGGCTTGCAGGAAATGGGTGAGCAAACGTGCCATTGGTGGCCCCCGTTTTGGCCTGTCTAGCAACAGCATTGCTCCCCCCCCAGACCCTCACCTGTCTCCACTGTGCCGCTGGTCACCCCAGGTGCCATACCTGCTGTCGGCCTCCTGCACGAGGACGTCGGTGTCCCTGGCCTCTGCTGATGGCCGGCCGAAGCACTCCTTCAAATGGTCCTGGGAAGGTGAGAAGGGAGAGCTGGCGTGACCCTGCCAGGGAGAGACCTGGGGTCTCGGTGCCAGGTGGAATGGGCTCGGGGACAGCACCTCCTCCCTTTCCCACTTCCCCGTGGCGGTGGAGGCACCCCCTAATTTCCACACCCAAGGGGCCACCAGGCCAAATCTTGGAGCAGCCCTTGGGAAGCAGAGTTTCTGGGACTTCCGCAGTGGGTTTGCAGGAGCCGAGGGAGACGACAGCTCTGCTCTCGCCAGCCACAGAGCCTTTCATAAGGACGGGAAGCCGGACAAAACCCCTTCCTAATCACATTCGTAAGTGTTCATATTTAACCGCTTTATGGAGATTAGAGAACTTCAAAACCGTGAGCTTAATTTGACACCTTGTGAATTGTACCTTCTTTGGATTTAAGAAGTTTTAAAGAGAGACTTATGAATTTTAAATAATATACAATTGGCAAAAACAAAAAAAAGGATTTTGATTTAAGAAAGTTCTAAATGGACTGGGCAAGATTGGAAAAACTGGCTATTTTTGCTGTAAGATTTGAAAAAAACAAGTTTGCAACTGAATGGGAAATGACTGAGGTGGAATTAAAGCCACACTAGGAACGGAGGCCTGATGAAGTTTGCAAATGGACACTAGAGGGAACTAAAAGACCAGGTAGAAAAGAGCTGAAATGGGAAGCCAGTTGTAACTTTTTCTTATTTTAGAGCAGGCATGTCAAGCTGCCGGGATGCATCATACTGAAACCGTGCCCACCCAGTTGCTGGCAATGGGGGGAAAAATCGCGATACGTTGTGCAACGTCACGCGACGCCGCGAGTTTGACATGCCTGTTTTAGAGAGATTTTTTTTAAAACCTGGACTGAAATATCAATAGCTGATATTTCAGAAGGGACAGAGATCTCAATGAGTAAGCTTTCAGAAGAAGACGATGATGAGAAAGACTTTTACCTGCCAAGGCGCTACAGGGTTTGTTCGGAAGACAACAAACCTGGAATTACCAAAATGGAAATGCGAAAGACCAGTCCAGAAAAGGATCCGCGACAAGCATTGGCTCTTTCCCCGAATGCCCCCCCCACCCCCCACCCCCAGGAGACAAGCCTGGGAGGAATCTCTCTCTGAAGCCTCACAGGTCCCCCTATCGCGGCCAGGCCTTCTCCCAACGGCCATCTCGGGGGGGGGGGCTGACCCACCGCCTTCTGGCAGCGCAACACCCACAACTACTCACCCAGAGACACATTGCGTGTTCAGGTTGCAGCCAATCCCAGTGCCTGCTTGGCTGGGGGCAAGTTCTATGCTGCACACATACACACACACACACACACACACACCCTGGACGCAGCAGGCCCCCTCCTGAGACAGCCAAAGAAGGGGTGCGGTGATGTCCCCCCCCGCCAGAGAGACGGAGGAGTCCTCCCTGGCCTGTGTTTGCTGCCTCTGGCCCCGCGCCAGGGCAGGGCGAGTCGCTCTCAGCCGGAGCCACGGAGGGTCACCCGGAGGACGAGACCACCACTGAAAAGACCAACAAGCAGCATCACCGCCCGGATGGGCTTTCTGGCGGCCCTGCTCACCACCAGGTAGGAGCCAGGGATGACTGAGACAGAGAGGCTTTCAACAAGGAGCTGAACAAAACCTGCTCTGTGTTCCCGGAGGAAAAGGCAGACCTCCACCCCCCCTCAGTACACAAAAGTGTGGGTGGCAAGGACTGTCACAGAGGAGCCCTCTCCGCCTTTCTCTTCAGACCCCGAAGAGCTTCATCCAGAACAAAGCACGAGTCCCGACTCTTTTGCTCAGCAAAGGCAATCCTGAAAGATGACTCCATCTGTCAAAACTACGTCACGGCGTAACTCCCGGACGCTCGGCCCTTGTCGTCCCATCCTTTCTGCCCGCTTCCTGTCCGGCTGGTGGCTGGCAAAAAGCAGGAGTGGCCAGTGCAGCGCCCCACACACTGGTCCCCCTGAGACAAGGCCCCCACTTCCAAAGCGTTCCCTTCCAATGCACACAACTGGGCAAGTCTGCTTTGCACACACAACTCCTGACTCACAGCAAGGCTTGGCACACACACACACACACACAAAGGGAGAAGGGAGCCCCTGCTTTAGAGCAAGTCACGGCTGCAGCCACAGATAAGCAGCAGTTCCTAGAAGTGGCTGACCTCACCAATGACAGGCTCCCCCCTCCCCCCCCCGTGATCACAGCTCTTTCCTGGGGGGGGGTTGACTCCTTCCTAGAAGCAGCAGGGGCAAGGAGCCAAGGCTTCAGTTGGGGATGGGGAGGGGGTCACAAAAGCCCCCAAAGGGGCAGTCAGTCATGCAGCCAAGATGGAGGGGAGAGGGGTGAGGCGGGTTCTGGGAGGGGGCTTCAACTGCTCCCCTCCAGGAGGGCTTCCCAGAAGCAGAAGCTTCTTCAGTGTGACTCCAGTAGGTTTTCTATCTCCGCCCCTCCCCAAAGACTTTGAAATGTTCAAGAGTATTTTTAACCAGAGCCAGAACAATTCAGCCAGACATCTGCAGCGTCTCCTGTGCAAGTGGGGGGGGGGGAAGGGGGGAGCCACTCAAGGATGCAGCCTTCTTGTACAGGAGCAGCAGAAACGACCCTGACCCACTCCTCAAGATCCAGGGCTTCCCCTCGGGAGAAGGACCCTCACTCTGGAGGGAAAACCCCAAGCATCCCTAAACTCTCTTTAAACCGGACTCCTCTGTCCGGACTCCAAAGCCCGGACAATGCCAGCCTTTCAGCTGGTCAGGAGGGAATCAGAACAGCCATACCTCTGGACACCAGAGAAGGCAGCCCCCACTGTGTGTTTCTAATCCCCCCCCCC